TTCTTACAATTTCATGAATTGACGGTTTATGCGGAGGATTTCATTCATCTTATGTATGATGGAATGATTCTCATTTCATCATAAGGGGGAGTATGTAATAATGAATGAAATATTCATATCCGAACATTTTAAAAGGAATCTGATGTAAAAATCAAGGGGAGTAGCTTCGATAATGGCAAGAGACTCAAAAGAAGTGCGACTGAAGATGATTACGAAGATTATTCCTGTGCAACAACGACTAAGAGTTTTTGAATGAGAAGGTCAATGTTTCAAAAGTTTACCAAAGAAAAAATTTGGGATTTGTTGTCTGAAGATTCTTTGAAGATCAAATCTTGTACATTGTTTCTGATGATTACTGTTCTACATTGTCAAAAGAGAAGATCACCGTGATTCTACATTCAAGGAGGAGAATGTTAGAAGATCTTACTCAACAGATAATTGTCTGAAGATTCCAAGTTGAAGAATTCTTTTGAAGGTGACATAATGTGTTTAAGGTTTCAAAGTTCAAACAGGACTCAAAGTACAGAATTTCTTTCATGAATACAAAGGGGGAGAATGTTAGGAATGAAATTCTATGTAAAATTGTATTCGTCTTGAAAGATAAAATTGTCTATAATTGTAAAAGTAATCGTGTTTGACTTTTCTTAGATAGGTTTGACTTTGACTTTTGTTTAGAAGTTTGACCCTATAAATAAGGTAATGTCTTTGTAAATTTAGTAGAGAGAGCTCATTTGTAAAATTAGATTACGTAATATGAGGGTTTGACCAAGACTTTGAATGTTGACTTTCTCTCTCAAATATCATCTTGTGTTCTTGAATGTTATATCTTAGATCTGCCATGTTTATGAAGCTTTATGAAGATTGATCATTGTAGGGGAGTCACAGAGGTGTACCATGGGATAAGGGTGGCATATCAAGGAGAGGCGTACATTTGGATATAAGGGTGGCATTTGTGTGTGTATGTATTTCGTAATATAACTCTTACTATTATATCCTTTAAGATTACCGTGATTTAGAATCTTTATTTCTTTCTGATTTACAGATTTAGAATCAGGGTTCTTAATGGAAATCGTAGTCTGGATGTTATAGAAGAGGAGATAACAGGATTGGCCTGAAACTTTGATTTAACCTTATTTGATTCAAGAGGTTAAAAGTGGCATTCTGATAATTGATTAATGTAAACCCATCTAGATTTGATGTATTGTTTACAAGCAAAGACTATTGATTTGAAAGGTGAAAGCTATTGACATTATGCTTCTACTTGTTCATATATTTGTGATATATATATATATATATATATGAAAAGTTGTTTTATTTAAAAGTTTTGGTGATTTTCACCCTGCAATGACATTGATAGGGTAACTCACTAGACCTTTCGGTCTAACCCTCGTTTTGTGATTTAAATATGTATTGCAGGAAGTGCTTAGGGTAAAGGAAAGGGAAAAATGTAATAATTTCTCTATATGCTTAGCTGCATGAAGATTTATTGACGGCATGTATTGTTTTGTTAGATGAATTTGGTTTAGTGCAAGAATTATATTTTGAATTTTTGGACCATGTATTTTGTACTGATAGATTCTTGTTCTAAGGGACCAATGTGGTGTACAAATATATATTTCTTATGTATGAAGTATATGTTACATGAGTTGTGTGGAATGTGGCATTACAACGGTGAACTGGTTGGTAGCTTTTACGAGACAAAGAAGATGTTGAAGGAGTTTGGTCTTCCGAAAGAAAAGATACATGCTTACAAGAACCATTGCATGTTATTTTATAAGGAATTTGCTGATCATAACAGTTGTCTAGTTTGTGGGGAGTCTCTTCACAAGACAACCGACCGAAACAATAAGGTGCCTAATTTGGTGTTGACCTATTTGCCAATTACATCCAGATTACAACGGTGATATTTGTGTAAGAAAATAGCAAAGAAGATGACTTGGCACCATGATCATCAAACTGAGACGGAAAAAATGGTACATCCGAGTTATGGGGACGCTTGGAAACATTTTGACAGGATGCATCCCGATTTTGCTCACGAGATTGGGAATGTTCGTTTGGAATTATGTACAGATGGTTTCAATCCCAATAACTCCAACTCAAGTCCATACTCATTATGTGTCTGTTTTTCTTACAAACTACAATCTACCACCTTGGATGTGCATCAAAGACTGGAACGTCCACCTGGCTTTGCTGATTCCTGGCAAGAAGAGCCCTGGACAGAACTTAGATGTGTGTTTTTTGGCCCTTGATCGACGAGTTGAAGATGTTATTCTTTGACGATGTCGTTACCTATGACGCTCATCGACGAACGAATTTCACAATGAGGGTCGTATTGTTGTGGACGGTTAGTGACTTCCCTGCTTATGCCATGTTGGCTTGTTGGAGCACGCATGTCAAGTTAGCTTGCCCATATTGCATGGGTAATGCATGTGCGTTCCAGTTGCGAAGCGGAGGGAAGTCGTGTTGGTTTGACTGTCAYCGCAAGTTTCTGCCAATCAGATACTCGTTCAGGCGTGATAGGAACCAATATCATGTTGGACATGTTGAAAAAGCTAGTCCACCCCCTCTTCTAACCGGGGAGTAAATATAGGCACAAGTTTGTAACCTTCCTACGGTCTATGAAGGAGTCCCACACGGTTCAAGGCAATATAGGAAGCCTGTGGGTTTTGGGGTAACCCACAATTGGGTAAAGAAGAGTATTTTCTGGGAGTTGCCATATTGGCACACTTTGCTGATCTGACACAACCTTGATGCAATGCACATTGAAAAGAATGTGTTTGACAATATCTTTCACACCATCATGAACACCGAAAAATCAAAGGACAACGTAAAAGCAAGGAAAGCCATTAAAGAATACTGCAATCGACCAGAGTTGCATGTGAAGGAGGAACGAAATAAAATATTTAAACCAAAAGCTTCCTACTCATTAAACAAAGAACAAGTAGGAAAGGTGTGTGAATGGTTGAAGAAGCTTAGATTCCCATACGGTTATGCTTCTAACATAGGTGCATTAGTAAACGTTGAAGATGGTAGTTTTTATGGCTTCAAAAGTCATGATTGTCATGTGTTCATGCAAAGACTGCTGCCTCTTTCTATAAAAGGGATGGTACCGGCTCCAATATGGGATGCTATCACTGAGTTGTGCACATTCTTTCGTGCAATATGCTCAAATGTGTTACACATTGACGACTTGCTTTAATTGCAGACAAGTATAGTGGAAACTATCTTCAAGTTGGAAAGAGTCTTCCCATCGGGATTCTTTGATTCCATGGAACACCTTGTGGTACATTTGGCACGTGAGGCAATAGTTGGGGGTCCGGTTCAATATCAATGGATGTATCTCTATAATAGACTTCTAGGGTCGTTGAAAAGGACAGTGAGAAACATATCAAGGATAGAAGGGTCAATTGTAGAAGCATATTTGGTTAATGAACTATCTACCTACTGCTCGTTGTATTTTGGAACAACGGTAGAGACACGTCTGAACCGTGAGCCTCGAAAATTTTCCCCCGATTGTTCGTTTTCAGACCAACGGTTAAATATATTTAAAACTCCTTGTCGATGATTATTTAATAAAGGCGGAACGCATGTTAATCTATCAAATGAAGATATGCACAAAGCTCACACCTACATTTTACTGAATTGTGAAGAAGTTTTTCAGTTCATAGATATCTTCAATGCGGAGGTCCTAAATAGAGAGCCATATATTGATGATATGGGTCTCGACAAACGTAGTGGCGATCACTTTGCTGGATGGTTTCATACCCACATAAGTGTATACATATTAACTTTAATTCATCATTATTTATATGTACTTAGTAAAATATTACAAATGACATGATTGTAGGTTATGTCTCAGTCAGAGACTACTTCAGATTTGTTAGGATTTTGGCATACAAACCGTTATGTATGGTTTGGAGACACTCGGGGTTATTTGTAAACAATTACAAGTTCCACACGCTAACTCATGGTAGAAATTGCACCACACATAATAGTGGAGTATGCGTGAGAGGGTCTTGTTAATTAAGTAAATCAAATTTTTGTAATTAAGCCGACGAAATGTTTCCGGCGGCAGAAATCCGCCGGTAAAATAAAGCATCCGCCGGTAAACTCGACGGAAAACGAATCACCGACGCCCTCTTTTCCGGCGGATAAATCCGTCTGAAAATCCTACTTCCGACGGATTTGTTCGCCGGAAAAGAGGGCCTGTTTGGTAGTGAGCTGGGTCCAGGGATAAAAGGAAGGGGAAAATTGATTATTTTTCTTACATGCTTAACTGCTATTCTGAAGATCATCCTTTTACTTGTTGGATTTTTGAGAATACATGTTGTTCATCATGTGATTGTACAAGAATATTCTTTTGAAATTTTTGAGTTGTAAATTTTGTAATATAAATTTCTTGTACTACTGAGATCAGTGTGGTGTAATTGTATTTCTTTATATATGAAGTACATAATTATATACAAATTTAGAAAGTGGGATATTACAGTTGGAGGGTTAAAAATAATGTTTCCTGTTTTTCTATATAACAAAATAAATGTTCCCAATATAAAAATATAGCTTTTTAGATGTATATATGTATAATCATATCCAAAATGTAGACACAAATGGAATTATAATGCTATTTATTTTTCAATTAACTGAATTACAAAATTAGACTTTTAGTGATAGAACATCACATAACTTTAAAAATGTTAACATTTTGCTAATGAATTTCTCCATTTTCATCGATTCTTAAATATTGTTCCTTATAATTAAGTGTAATAATAAAAAAATTGGTAATTACAAACCATCCAATTTTTTAAATAACACATATTTCGAGAAATATTCAAACAGAGATATCTAACATTTTTTAAGTAACACTTGCTTAGACATGCATAAATATTATATTTTTAAAATATTTGTGTATTAGTTAAAGATAGATTTGATAATTTAATTATAATTTTCTTAAAATTGTATATTTATCTTAGGATAAACATAAATACAACTATGGATATTTATTTTGTGTTGGGAAGAGTATTATTCTTGGTACAGACCAATTAATATATTGGGAATATGGGTTACATGCCCTTTATTAATAATACATAGGAACTGGTAGAAGCCTTCAAAGTTCTAAGCAGTTGATGTGAAGTTGAAGTTTGCACATGTTGTCGAACGACCAAGAAGTGAAGAGCTAAATCCTAGCCTTGATCTGGAAAGATCAAACTGTAGTAAATTGTCCTCAATTTGATGTCCTCCGATAACCACCGCAAACCGAGGTCGAAAATCTGTTTGTGCTTCTACGAATCCGAGGCACAAAACATCCTCTCTCGCCTCAACCATGGAGTTTGCACCATAAATCCTCCAGTAGACGCTCTCACTTTGCAACACAAGTTCGATGGAAGGCACCGCAGGTCCAACACGGGTTCTACGGATGTTCTTGGAGCTAAAACATGCTCCAAAAGGTGCAACACTCGGAACCCTTTTAACATTCTTTGGCATTGCTTTCACAAATGCGTCGACAACAGCACTGTAGATTGAACTTTCCAGGATGGTGTAAGGATCGACCGTGCTGATCGTTGTCCCACCGTAACCTTCAGAATCAATGGACAGCAACGTTTCGTTGAGCAAAACACGATTGTCGTTGATTTTTATCGAATTCACTCTGATGAAGTATTTAGGAGAGGCATCGCCTAAAAACCCATTTTCAGTAACAGGGTTTATAATAAGAGGGGTGTACGTAACAGAAGATGAGGCATCGACATTTGGAAGAAACGTGTATGGTCCATTTCCAAAGAACACAACACCCCTAGATCTTGTCGAGGAACTCAAACATACAGCAAATTTTCTCTTGAATCTGAAGTAAGAAGACAATTGCGCTGGTAATGAAGCTCCAGTCCTTCCAAGGCCAGCCATGCCAGTAACCCCACTAGCAAGACCAGCTTCAATGAAATTGCTACCACAGATAAAGTAAAGGCGAGGGACAGTAACAACCGGCAGAACGTTCTTGCCGTCAGTTGACTGTATCTTGAACACATCTGCACCGAGCTGACCGCTGGTGCCTGTGTTAGCAACGGTATTGGTGGGACCGTGGCCACAGGTGTTATTGTAGCAATCGGGTGCTGGTGCAGAATAACATTCGGTGGTGCATGAAGTGGTGTTAAGAAGTCGACATGGAGCAGAGCCACAAGGGGCCGGAAGGTAGGTGGAGGAGGTGTAGCCTCGCTCACAGTTGACCCACATGTAGTCACCACCAAGATCTAGGGTTAGTTTGACAGGGAGGAGAGGTGTTCTTTGTGAAACTTGGGTGACATATTGAAGGGTTTCGGCATCTTTGGATACTGAGAGAAGAAGAACCTTTGGACGGGGTGAGGTTTTGGCTACAGACGAAGACACAACCAAGAGAAAGGAGCAGAAGAAGAGCAAAGAATAGGAAGAAGGTTCAGCCATGGATGGATGGTTGGTGAGATGTGAATACTTGGGGATTGAAGAGGGTATTTATGAGAAAAACTTGCAAAATAAATAAAAAGAAGAGGGTTAACGTCGGACAATTTTTTTTTTGTTTATAATGGAACAATGAAATTATTGCTAAAAGCATAATATTCTGATAAAATGCTATTTGTGATATATCTATCATGGACCTAAATACCTATTTTTATATAATTAAACCCATTCTGATATAAAATTGAACATTTCTGGTTGCCAGGCTGCCAGCTATATAATATTACCAATTGCAAACCTTTTGCACAAATACTGTATGGATTATAGTGAAATTATTCAATAACATACGTATCTATCAAACTTTCGGCTTCACCATATCATATAAATTGACTTGAAAACTATCCATTTGTACGTAAAATATTTAATAAATATTTTTTTAAGTAACATAAATATTTTTATTACTAGAAGGGTACTTGTACAATAAATCTCGATTTTAATGTTTGGTTTTGTTTTTTTTTTTTGTCTCAGTCGATGTTATAATATGATTTAATGTGATTTTCAGAAAATAATAATGTTTTTATTTCTGAATAAAAATTAAATATGAAGATATAATAAAATTTTGAAAAAAAATATTCATATTAATACCAAACTAACTATTTAAAATTTCTCGTTTTCTTGTGTATTTCTATAATTCATTTTTTTTTATTTTTGGTTTAATAATATAATTTTTATATTGATAATAATTAAGTATTTTGTTAGAAATCAATGATTATCCTAATTATATTTTAGATTTTTTATAATTCAAATGAGATGTTTATCTTGTGTTTGATCATATTTATCTGCAGTTAGTTACACGAATTCAAACAAAATTTTTTAATACGTTGTACTTACGCATAATTTATTTGTAATATTAAATTATAAGTAATATGCATCAATAAACAGTATTTCATGCATAAAAATGATTTTTAAAAGTTTTTATCAAATGTTTTATATAGATAAACTTAATATTTAATAATCAATTCATGCGATTTATAAATAAACCCGAACTTAACTTCGAAAACGAAGTATTAATACGGAATTCAATCTTGACTTTAGTTGCTGTATTTATGTATTTTCATCGATCTCTTTCAATTGCAATCCTATCTATCCATTTTATATTTTAAATAAGTATTTTGTCGGTGATAAAGTTTAAATATGTGATAAAAAATGACTTAATAAATGTATTTTACGAATGATTAAATGTTTAAATTATTTATTAGTAAATAACACCCCTATATTAATATCTCAAAATTAACAATTTTTCAACGTATTATTGATAAAAGATGCTCAAAATCAGTCACACAAACACGACGACGATAAAGTAAGAACATGAAAAAAAAACACACAGGATTTTACGTGGTTCAATTGATCGATCAAGCTAGTCCACTGCCATACTAATAAGGGTTTTATTAATATGACAACTTGGGTTTACAATTACATAAAATTGAATTTATAGAAGAAAAATAGGTTAAACTCCCAAGTTGGTCGGACCCAAAATCTTGGGAGTTTCTTTTCTCTAATATTTGGTTCAACTGCCAATTAATCAGACTCTAGAACTTAACAATCTCCCACTTGCGGCTGATCAACTCCACTGCCATCCATGTTCCGTAACTCCAGTCAACCCCTATCATGTATAAGTCCCTCTTACTAGTGCGACGCCTTCTTCATCAATCATCTAGAAGGCCAGTTGAAGCTATGCAAAGCTTCAACTTATCAGTTGTCACCACCTTGGTAAACATGTTTGCAGGATTCTTTGAACCAATGATCTTCCTTAATGACCAAATTCCATCACTTACCAAATCTCGGTTAAAGTGATACCTCATCTTTATGTGTTTCGTCCTACTATGAAACACCGGATTCTTTGCTAGACTTATTGCACTATGGTTATCATAGTATATGGCACAATCTTTTTTGTTTCATGCCTAATTCTAAAAGAAAGTTCTTCAACAATAAAAGCTATTTGCTTGCTTCTACAAGTGCCATGTATTTTGATTCTATGGTTGAGAGAGCAACACTTCTCTGTAATTTGGAGATCCAACTAATAGTTGTTCCCATTGTGAACACATAACCAATAGTACTTTTGCTTGAGTCTGAACAACTACCCAAGTCAGCATCTGCATAGCCATCAAAGATAACACCTTTCTTTTTGAAACATAGTGCTAGCTTTAATGTGCTCTTTAAGTAGTGTAAAAGCCACTTGATTGCTTCCTAATGCTCTTTTCCTAAATTTGATATAAATGAACTACTACTCTGTTGGACCGATACTAGGGAACCGCCCACATGATATTGTCCGTTTTGGGTTGCCCCTTCTGGCAACAACCCCTCACGGCTTTAAAACGCATCACTGGTAGGAGTAAGATCCCCCCTTCTTTATAAGGAAGACGAATCCCCCTAGCCTCACCGATGTGGGATGCTCCTGCATTGCTACATGAGCTTTGGGTTTAAGAATCGCGGATTTGACCGGCTCGAAGGAACGATGAGGCGGAAGTCCCAACATTCCTCCCCCTACATTGGTGCGGTCCTAGCTCTGATACCAATTGTTGGACCGATACTAGGGAACCGCCCACATGATATTGTCTGCTTTGTGCTGCCCCTTCCGGCAACAACCCCTCACGGGTTTAAAACGCGTCACTGGTAGGAGTAAGATCCCCCCTTCCTTATAAGGAAGACGAATCCCCCTAGCCTCACCGATGTGGGATGCTCCTGCATTGCTACAGGAGCTTTGGGTTTAAGAATCGCGGATTTGACCGGCTCGAGGGAACGATGAGGCGGAAGTCCCAACACACTCCATGAGCAATGTCTGGTCTTGTGCATACCATGGCATACATCAAGCTACCAATTGCATATGCATAAGAAACTTTCGCCATCTCTTCCTTGTCTGTATCCATTTCAGGTGATTGTTCCTTTCTAAGCTTGAATTGACCTAGGGGTTTACTTCTGACCTTAGCATCCTTTGGATTGAACTTCTCTAGAACCTTCCCAATGTATTTCTCTTGGGATAACTTTAGAGTGCCATCTGCTATATCTCCTTTGATGCTCATACCAAGAATTTGCTTTGCTGCCCTTAGATCTTTTATCTCGAATTCTTGAGATATTTTTTTCTTTAATATGTTGATTTCTTTTATATCTTATCTTGCAATCAACATATAACAACAAGATAATATAGGAAGACTTGAATTTCTTCAAGTAACAGCAATGGTCCATGCGACATCTCATRTACCCCTTCCTCCTTATAAAGTTGTCAAACTTTAAGTACCATTGCCTCGGTGCTTGTTTCAAATGGTACAAGCTTTTCTTYAACTTGCACACCATGTTTTCCTTTCTAGCCACCTGAAACCCTTCTGGTTGCACCATGTAGATATCTTCATCAAGATCTCCATGTAAGAATGTTGTCTTGACATCTAGCTGCTCTAGATGCAAGTCTTCTGTAATTATTATACTTAAGGCAATCTGATTATACTCATCTTCAAAAAATGGAAGAAGATCTTATTGTAATCGACTCATCTTTTCTGTTGAAACCCTCTACAAGATATGAAACAGTTTGTAGGGGGGGGGATGAATACAAACACAAAGTTTTCAAATTTAAAATATATATTGATAGAGAAGATCAATACAGATTTTACAAGATTGTTTGTGGAAAGATAAGGTATAGGAAACCTATCTAAACAACCTTTGGTCACACACAGAGGTTTAACAAATACAAGAAAAGAGAATGCTAAAAGAAATATCTTTTACTTAAGCTAGAAGAAACTTGAAGTAAGAATATGGTAAGAGAGTGATGCGCGCACTCTGTATGAAGAAGAAACACTTCTATTTATACCCACTGCATTAAATGAACATTTAATGCAGTAAGGTAGGGTTTAGAGTGCGTGTCAAGCCTTAAGAGGAAGGCTTGTCCTTTGCTACAGTGAATAGTACAAAAACACTATTCTTGAGCAGGCATCCTTGCCTAAAGTTGGTGGACAAAGAGTCGACTAGTCGGCTCCGTACCGTACTAACTTTAGTAAGGGTATGGGTTTGTCCTTTGTGTGC